TTCTGTAATTCCAGGAGGTTTATAAATTGAAATCTGGCAAGTTGCCACTCCACTGATTAACATTGTTATGACTAAAATTTTACAGAGATTGGAAGAATAAAGGCCAGTAGCAGAAAAGATCTGGACCCTCTCAAAACCTGGAAGACCTGAAGACTGTAATTTTAAAGAGTGCAAATTATAAAACTTGCACCCTTTATTAACGTTTTGTTATCATGTGCAAAACAAGTTTAACTCGCAAAATCCTCTAGGATCACTGGGAGGAAAATAAGGCGAAGAAGGAATGAACAGCTGATGAAAATCCCTATTTCCAGATTCCTGACATTCGTAAGCTTTATACCAAATATTTCCAGCTCCTTACGAGTTCTTGGGACCTTAAAAAAAGTCAGTAAATATAGGCTAAATCAGATTATGCTCTGTTGAGAATCCTGGAAATGTTTCCAGAAACGCACATCCCTGCCTCTATGAGATCAGACCGTTGCCTTTGTGTGGCTTGAGCGCTCCAGGTTGGACACCCTGATTTAAAACAAGGCCTCTGTTTGCATTACCTGGATGGAAATTAGTTGACTTGTTATGAAGCATTTGGCAGTTGCCTGAGCAGTTAATTTTATATGTTTGTAATTTTCTTTTGCCTATGCCTGTAGTGTTTGTTCCTGTAGCTGCTTTTTGTCTTGAGAACTTGATAGTGTGAATGTTATATTTAATTAACATAAATGATGGCTGCAGTGCCAGCTGTGGAGAAACATGAATGGATTAATTTAATGAGTTCTCCCTGATTGTTAACAAGTGCTGTCTCCAGACATATATAGGCACTTTAATGGGGTACAGTCATCCCTTCTCAGAAAGCTGAAACTGCTTCAAAGGGCCTGTTTTTCATATACAGTATACACATATTTGCTAACTTTATTATCCCGCTCTGAAAGATCAAGGGAGAAATTATGTAACAAGACCTACAAAACATTTAAGGTGAGCCATGACCTCCCAGAAAATGCTTTGCAACCCCCTTGGGGGGAGGTGTCACAACCCCCAAGTTGGAAAACACCAGTATAAGGGATTTCTTAACTTTGGAAATAGCACGTTTTAGTGGATTTATCCCTCAAACTCACACTCTTATTAGGTTTGCTTCTCAGGAGATTTTTATTTCAAAAATGCAAGAACAATACACTTTCCGGGAGAAGCATTACAGTATTTGCAAGATGCAGTATAGCATTATAAATTGTGATGCGATTCTCATAAGAAATGTGTTTGCAATGCTGAAGCCATGGTTGTAGTTTTATAAACTGAGCATTTGTTGAGAAATAAAAGTTTCTGGAAGATGAAAGAGATAGACCTACATCTATCTATTCCATTTTCAGTATCTGTGTACATGTGAGTGTGAGTTCTGGAAGCACACAGCTATCAACTCTGGGACTGTGAGGGATAAAAGGGAAATGGAACAAAACTGGGCATAGGCACAGGTGTATAGATGTTTCGAGGTGCAGTTTTTCTCACCACTCTTCACAGTTTGAATGCACTCCTGGATTCATCTCTTTACCTGGATGCCCAGATTTTGCCAGCTGCCAGGAGCGCCTTTGCACAGTTAAAACGGGTATGCCAGCTGTACCTGTCCGTTGAGATGTCTGATTTGGCTGCAATGCTGCAGCCGCTGTTGAGTCTGAAAGACTTCGAACAGCGTGGCTGACTCTTTGCCCTGCACCCCAGATAACGTGGGACTAGCTAGCCTCCAAGAGCTACAAGGCCGAGGGAGGGAACACTAGGTTATTTAAGGGATGTTCCCTCCTTGCACTGTCCTCTTCTTTTTCAGGCATGCACCCGTCTGCAATATTTCTAGTGTGAGTTTTTCTGGTCTCCTTTAAGGCGCCGGATAGGAATTTTTAACCTTCATCCTGATTGTCCTTTGGATGGGGGGATTTTTCGCCTATCCCACACTGGAAAAAGGATGCTGGCATTTTCGGTGGAACTGTTGGTCACACTGGCGGGTAGTGCAGAAAAAAAACAAGTATTTTCCAGTGTGTCCCAATGTAATTTCAGGTAAGCCAACAGCGCATCCGGCCTCCTGACACTGCAGATAGTATACAGTGGTGCCTCGCATAGCGAGGTTAATCCGTTCCAGATTAACCTTCGCTATGCGAAAACATCGCTGTACGGATCAAAAAAAGCCATTGGAATGCATTAAACATCGTTTAATGCGTTCCAAATTGGCAGAAAACTCACCGTACAGCGATGTTTTCCGGGTCCGGCAGCCATTTTCGCGCCCTCAGTAAGCGAAGGGAGGGCGCAAAAACGCTACACGTGGCCATTTCGGCCGCAGCGAGACCGTGGATCAGCTGTTCAGCGTAAGGCGCCGGATAGGAATTTTTAACCTTCATCCTGATTGTCCTTTGGATGGGGGGATTTTTCGCCTATCCCACACTGGAAAAAGGACGCTGGCATTTTTGGTGGAACTTTTGGTCACACTGGCGGGTAGTGCGGAAAAAACCAGGTATTTTCCAGTGTGTCCCAATGTAATTTCAGGTAAGCCAACAGCGCATCCGACCTCCCGGCACTGCAGATAGTGTGATTACAGGGAAGATGCGCTGGGCCTCTTCTGGACCAACAGTCATCAACTAAAGATGGCTTGAGGTCTGGGGGTGTTTATTAGCAGCCGGCCAGGTTCCTGCTGTCTTTAAGACCGCTGGAACCTGGGGCCTGGGACTCGGCCATTTGCTGATCAAGGGGTATTTGGATACCTCTGCCATTTACCTGTTTCTCCACTACAGCAGGCCCCCTCCTTTTTGCCAAAGGATGGCAAATTTGAATTTAAATCAATAAAGTGTGGCCCGTATTTAACCCATATTATTCTCTTGTGTCTTTATTCTGGTGTTGGGAGGGCAATGATATGAGTCTTAGTGACATCGCACCTGGATTACTCTAACACACTCGTAAGTGGGGCTGCCTTTGAAGACAATTCTGGAACTTCAGCTAGTCCAAACAGCAGCAAGCTGACAGACTGCTGAACGGGGCCAATTACAGTAGGACTCCATATCCGCTGGGGATTTATGGCTCCTAAGGTTATCAGAGGAGAGCCGCCTCTTGGTCCCATTGCCGGCGCAGTCACAGCTGATGGGGGACACAAACAAGAGAGGGCCTTCTCTGTGGCAGCTCCCGGGTTATGGAAGGCTCTCCCTCGGGAGGTCAGGCTGACCTCTTCCCTTCTATCCTTCCTCCGACAGCTGAAGACCCACCTTTTCAGGCAAGCTTTTAAAAATCATGACAGAATCCCTGAATGCCATTTTTTTCAGCTGAGATCGTTTTTAACGTTTTACATATTTTAATCGTTCAGTGTATTTTGATGAGTTTTATAGCTCAATTGTTTTCTAATATATAATTTATTGTGTTTTTAATTCTGTTCTTTTTGATACTGTGAGTCCCCCGATTGGAAGAAAAAGGTCTATAAATATGATTTAAAAAATCAATAAATGAAGGAATGCAGGAATAAATAGCAACAAGGAAACTTGTGTTAATTGAACTTCTCTGTCTTCCTCTGACCCAGAGTGATTGTAAACATGTTCCATATTTTGAAACAACACTGCCTTGGGTTGGCCCAGGTGGCTGACCATGGGAGCTGTTCATATCTGAAGGATCAGCTTTTAATATTTCAGGTGGTAACGTTAGTTTCGGCCGACAGAGGTGGCTCTGGCAAAATGTCGTGTTGTAGGATACTAGACTTGGTACAGTAGTTCATAATTCATATGTTTTACATTTATTTGCTGGCATCACAAGCGCTGGAATTGGGATATTACAGTGATTTCTTTTATTCTGCTTTTGGAAATGGCTGTTTCTTTTATATTTTAAACTGACAGTGGTTGTTAACCTTTGTTACTCAGATGTTTTTGGACTGCAACTCCCAGAAGCCTTAACCATCAGCTCTGCTGGCTGAGGTTTCTGGGAGTTGCAGTTCAAAAACACCTGAGTAACAAAGGTTAAGAACCACTGGGCTAAATCATGCCATGGTCAGAGTTTGTCAACTATAAGTGAGAGTAAATAGCTGGGGAATCTGAAGTTAATGAAGCAGCGATGGTGTGACCAGTTGGAATTGTGCCTTATGATTTGTAGAGGTTAATCCTCAGAGGGATGTGGAGGGTAGAAAATATAAATATAACTACTACGATATAAGGCAAGGACTGCTAGAGATTGTTTATTTTAATTTTTTGAATGTATTTATTTGCTGCGAAGCTTTTTTAATTTTTTTTGTCAGAGCATGGACTTGAAGGCTAGAATAGCTTTATACTGAATTTAGTGAAATGGAATTTATAGACTAATTCCAGTATAGTTAGGAAATGACTAATAATTTGCTGCTGGTCCCTCAGACATGGCTCATGGAAACACCCGTCTTTCTACAACATCATGGATCTCATATAGCACACTGCTTTTTGTCAGTGCCCTTTGGGGCCTTACAACCCGATTCTATAGATTATTGCTGGTTGATGTGATGTAAGTAATGGTTTTTGCTATTCCAACTGAATTTTATCCTAGGCCTTGCAAGTGCAAGTTGTGTCATGTCATAAAGTGAAGAGCCACAATGCTGCAGACCAGAGACCGGCCACTTCTAGTCTAGTTAGGACATGGCCTGTTTATGAAGAACAGTCCTCTTTCTGAAGAGCCAGAGGACAGTCCAGAGTTTGAAAGGACCCTCGCTTTGAAGGACTGTCCAATCCAGGTCTGGTGTAGAAGTAAAGACATACAAGAAGGGAAACCTTGAGAAAGCCCTCTGGTTGCCCATGAATAGTTAGCACTTAGGGACTGAGCAGCCAGCAAACACGTCGCACTGAGGCGCAGTGAGATGTTTTACATTTCTGTTTACATGCTAGTGATTATTTCTAAATTTACAGCAGGACCCTGCCCCGTGGCATTTTTTAATGTTTTTAAATGTTGAACATTAAAAAAAATCAATTTTTATCCATTCTGGTTTCACAGTTTATTTACTTACTTGGTTGTTTTCCGTGAAATTATGATCATGCTAGAAATGCCTCTTTGTTTGCAGGACGTTTCTTCTTGTGGGTGCTCCGAAGGCTAACACAAGTCAACCTGGAATTGTACAAGGAGGCCATGTTCTGAAATGCAACTGGAGCTCCAACAGAAGAAACTGCCAGCCGATCGTATTTGATGCTACAGGTGACGTATCTTGACAGACGGTTGTCTTGCTTTGTCTTGGGATTTTAATGAACTGCAGAAACGAAAGGCAAAACCAGTTAATGACTGGATACTGATAAGGACTGCCCTGACCAAGGTTTATCTGTGTTGGCATCTCTTTATGTCACCTTTCTTCAGAATAGTCAAAACTCTTTCATGGCTTCTGGGAGGCATTTCCTGATAATACTTGTGAATGTAAGCGTATTGAGATGGTTGGGATCGGCAGTCAGTATATTCTGTGGCTACTCTTCTCCACTGATTGCACTGTGAGCTGTAGGACTCCATACCCAAAATTTAAAAGTAGGTCATTTATTTGGTGGTAGTTATCACATGACCTCCAGTATGAGAGGTGGACTGTTTCTTCGAATTCCGTCTGCTAAGGAAGGTGGGCGAGCCTTGCTTTGGTCTTTGAGTAGGGTAATCTAGTTGACGCTATGTGAATGGAATACTGCATTACATAGGTCTCTGGTCAAATCCCGCTTCATGATCTTCATGTGGGTTGGAGTTGCATAAGCCTGTCTTTCAGGCTCACAGTAATATTTGGTTTAGAAAAGTTTAATTTTTATTACTTAATGTTTTAAAGCAGAGTACAGTGGTGCCTCGCTTAACGAGCGCACCATTTAACGACAAATCCGCATAGCGTCGCGTTTTTTGCGATCGCTAATGCGATTGCATTGCGATGTTTTAGGTGGCAAAACATCACATTGCGATGATCGTTAAGCGTTTCGCTTACCGATCTTCGCATTGTGATGTTTAGAAAACAGCTGATCAGCGGTTCCAAAATGGCCGCCGGATCAACAAAATGGCCGCCCGCAGCGTTTTTGCGCCGATTCCTCGCTCATCGAGGCGGCGAAAATGGCGGCCCTATGGAGGATTCCCGCTTAGCGGTGAGTTTTTCCCCAGTAGGTACACATTAAACAGAGTTTAATGCGTTCCTATTAGGTTCCCCCCCCCCACATAGAGACGAATCTGGATAGCGATGTTAATCCTGGAACGGATTAATGTCGCTATGCAGGACACCACTGTATTTCTGTGTAGTACTGTTCAAGATTTGGAGCTCATAATTCAGGTCTTGAAACTAAAACCCAAATGTTGCAAGCACCTATAAAGATTGCCTCTACAGGTGTGTCCCCAACGTAATATGAACTTTTTGGTCTATTTTTTGGACAACCGCTTGCTATGGGGTAGCAAGTGCGCACCTGGGAGAGGTTGAGAGAAACCAGAGATACAGAGATAGTTGTCACTTAGTGTTGGGAAGTTGTGATGATGGAGGTGGTAATTGTTAAATAACAGATCAAGTGTGGAATTGTGGTATTGCACTGTGTTGTTGCACAGTTGTGTACAAAGTTGTTGTACGATTCCCTTGCCCCACCCTGCTGAATCCGATCTCTCATAGCTTCTTTGAAATAGGCATGTGGTATGGTTTTCATGTATCACCCTGGGAGGAGGATTAGGAAGTTCTTTGTGAGATACACCACTGTATTTCTGTGTAGTACTGTTCAAGATTTGGAGCTCATAATTCAGGTCTTGAAACTAAAACCCAAATGTTGCAAGCACCTATAAAGATTGCCTCTACAGGTGTGTCCCCAACGTAATATGAACTTTTTGGTCTATTTTTTGGACACCGCTTGCTATGGGGTAGCAAGTGCGCATCTGGGAGAGGTTAAGAGAAACCAGTAACATGATACAGAGATAGTTGTCACTTAGTGTTGGGAAGTTGTGATGATGGAGGTGGTAATTGTTAAATAACAGATCAAGTGTGGAATTGTGGTATTGCACTGTGTTGTTGCACAGTTGTGTACAAAGTTGTTGTACGATTCCCTTGCCCCACCCTGCTGAATCCGATCTCTCATAGCTTCTTTGAAATAGGCATGTGGTATGGTTTTCATGTATCACCCTGGGAGGAGGATTAGGAAGTTCTTTGTGAGATCAGCCGGTTTTGTTGGGCTTCCCCTTGCTTTAAACCCCTGTGACAATGAGGCCGGTCTTCTGAGACATCAGATGACTTGTTGTCTGGCTTTGCTTTTTCCTGTCTAAATAGAGTACATAAGGGAAAACCCCTGTTCTAAACAGGTTTGGAAGGTTTTACAAAAGACCAGACCTCTTTCTTTTAATCTACTCTGGACCATCCCTGCCATTAAGGCAGGACCTCTCTCTTTTAATCTCCTACTCTGGACCATCCCTGCCATTAAGGCAGCACCAAGGCAGTTGACTGAATCAATAGTTTGTTATTTAAAAAAGCTTCCAAGAACACAAGGGGAAAAGAAGAACATGTTGGATCGAACCAAAGGCCTGTTGTTTCCTCCAATGTTCTGCTCCCAAAATGATGCACCAGAGGGTGACCAGAAGTCTTCCAGAAGGATGCGGTATGGCTGCACCCTCTATCTTATGCCTCCCCAGCAATTGATACAGCTTATTATTCTTTATTGCCGTTTCTATAATTTTATTACTAGGACAGGTGATGTGCTGGTTGGGTTTTCTGTTATCAGGGGGCAGTGTAATTTGATTGCATTGGGCACTATTTGTAATGACAAAGGGATTGGGGAGCAGAAGACTGCCTTAGGCTAGTTCGGTTCAGACACACAGCCCCTATACTTCAAGCTTTGGATAGTCTTTCTCCTCCTGGTCTTGTCTAATGCAAAGTGAGATCGAGGGCAGAGGACCTTTTGTCTTGACTCTCCCCACAGGGCAGAAAGCGCTGTGCCTGACAGGGTTACCCTGTATTCCTTTTTCAAACACTCTGCCCTCACTTTGTTGCTCATTGACACCATCCCCATGTACAGGAAGGGAAGGATATGCATGCTATTCACTTTAAGCAGGGAATGTTTTGAGCAGGAAAAGATGAGCTAGGCTCTCCATGGGTTGGGAAGAAATGAAAAATGTTCATGTTGAGGGTGGCGTCTGCTGAGCAACTGAGCTGAGGCACATTCCTTGTCTTGTAACAACCCCCAGGACTGCCTGAAGGAGGGGCAGGGAATGTGTAGCCTTCTAGATGTTGTGGGCCAATGACTTGTACCTCATGACCCCAGGACTGTCTGAAGCAGAGGCGGGGAATGTGTGGCCTTCCAGATGTTGTGGGCCAATGACTTGTACCTCATGGGCTGTACCAGCTAGATTTGGCGAGAGCTGCTCTTGAACAACACCAGAAAGTTTTTTAAGTAGTTGGGAGGCCCAAGTACATGTAGCTGGAATTCACGAAGCTTTTCTGTGAGCAATAGGGGCAGTGAGGTGTAGTAATCAGAGTACTGGAATAATCAAGGTTCCAACCTCCATTTGGTCATGAAACTGCCTGAGTGATCTTGGACCAGACTCTTTTCCCTTATATTGTCCTACCTCACAGGGTCGTTTTGATGACAAATGGGAGAAGAGGAGAGATTTGTACGTCGCCTTGAGTTGATGAGGAGAAACTGATGGAAAGGAGTGCCTTATAACAGGGGCTGAGTGTAAACCCCCCCATACACATACAATTGACAAATCACCCCTGTGGGGCTGAGTGTAAAACCCCCCCCACACACACATACACATACACATACAATTGACAAATCACCCCTGCGTGTACCACACAAACAAATGAAATATAAATAACTTTTGGTCTTGTCTTGTCTTTTTTAAATGAATGTTTTATGTAATGTTCTCAGTTGCAAAAGATGCTTTAAGTTATGTCAGTGAAAAATGGTGGTTTCAAAAACTTAAAAACCCCCCATGTCTATTTTGGCCTACCAGAAGTAACTTCACAATTCCTTGGAGGTATATATGTGTGCATACATCTGTACCTGTATAATATTGTGTTCTTTGGATTTTTCAAATAAGTGGGTTGTTTCAGATGTCATTCTTTTGAGTCAGGGCCAGGTTTTCAGTCCTTTTGCTGAGGAACAGAAAACAAGCAAGCAAATAAACTTCATTGTGTCACTTCCTTTTCATGTTGCCTTTGAGATGATTGGGGGAAAAAACAGAGAGAGAAACACCACAAAAACAAAACGAGAGATATTATTCACCCTATCCTTCAAATGAACATTTCATCCGGCTCCAGCTGTATATCCTGAATTCCAAGAAAGCATTGTGGAGGCCCACGTGGGTGAGATGCACTGCAGAACAAACCCAGTTAGTTCCGCTTCTTTTCACATAAGTACAGCTATGTGCATAAGGAGCAATTCAGTGGCTCTGATTCCATTGCGGCTTTACAGTAACAGACTTGTAAAATAAGAGGAATTTCTTTCCCAGGGCAATGCAGGCACGTTGCCATGTGGGTGACCCCCAGTGCCGACAACAGGGAGCTTTGTCTGAGAGCCCACACCATCGTTCCACCAGGCCTCGTTGCCTCTGTGACCCATTTAGCGTCTGACATATTTCAAGAGCCTGCTGCAGCTTTATCCTTTCAACATTCTCCAACTCAAGAGCGGCAACCGTTGAGAAGTCATGCAGAAAATGTGCATCGGGGTCTTGGAGAGGGGAAATGGTGTAGGAGGGGCATGCTGATTTCTTCCATCAGACAGTAGAAGAGGCTGACAAAAATGGCCCTTGAGCCAGTCTAGAGCATCATCGTTAAAAAGCTAGAGCCGAGGGTCACTGGAAGGTCCTTCTCCTATTATAGTTTTTACTCTTCTCTCTCTCTCTCTCTCTGAACAGAATGAAAACTAAAATAGTTCCGCTGCCAAACAGCCCACACACACACACACACACACAAAAGGTTTGCACGGCACCAGCAGCACATTAAAATACAAAATGAAAAACCCAGCAAAAACATTTACAAAAGAAAAGCCACAAAAAGCTCAAAGCAGCGTTGCTGGTCAGACAGGGTCGGGTAAAATAATTCCAGCAACTGCTGATTTAACCAGAAGTGTTTATGGTTTTCTTGAAAAGTCTCTGCGGTGCTAAGTAGATGAGCCCCTCTAGGGTAATTTATCTGCTATATTTATATCCCAGTCTCTTTTTTTCCCAAGCGAGTTCAAGTCAGTGTCCAGGACTGTCTTTTCCCCCTCCTT